CATACCCTCCCCAATATCTACCACCCAGCCACCCCATCCCTCCCACCCCCACCACTCCAGCAACCCTCAGTTTATTTCCTGAGATTAAGAATTCCAAAAAACATGATTCTGGGGAGAATTCAAGATGGCCTAGGAAGATCCTGATCTCATCCCTCCCATGGACATATCAGATCTACATCTGCATATGGAATAATTCCCTCTGAAGGGGATCAAGAAATTGGATGAATAGAGCCCCTGCAATAAGCAACATCAACAAAATGGGTAGAAGAGGCAGAGATACGGTCTTGCTGAGGGAAAAAAAACACACCTCAGGCACAGCACTCCATGTTTAGGAGGGATCTCAAAGGTATAGAGCTTTATCCTGAGGAGTGAAAGATGTGAGCTCCATATCATGCAACTTAACCCTTAGATTCTGCACAGGAGACATGAGTCCCCAAAATACCTAACCTCTGAAAACTAGTAAGGAATATGGCCAGGAAAACTATGGAACCATAGTAACAGAAAAACCCACTCTTAAAAGGCTCAGGTGCTGACTCACTTGACATGGAAACCAGTGCAAGAACAGGAGAGAGCTGAGCCTCTCTTCCCCCAGGAACTTAGACACTGGAGGCAGCCATTTTTACTATCTTGTTCTGCCATGCTGATGCTGGCATTGGTGAACACCATTTTGGAATCCTCCCTCTAGACTGCTAATGTCAGAGGGCATGCCCCATAAAGGGCATCAAACAACATGTGCCTTGGTCAGGCCTTGCAGCTGACAAGACAATAACCCCACCCACCGTGCACCTGCAGCAGTCAGAGCCAGGCATCCCAGCCAGTTGGGCCAGGGCCACTCCCACCTACTACATGCCCACAGCAGTCATGTCCCCACCACAACAGTAGGGTGCACATAGCCTACACAGGGGGTACTCCTGGAACACCTGGTTCTGGTGACCAGGAGGATTTGCACTTCTGGGCTCCACAAGACAACACCTACATAAGGCCACTCCTTCAAGACCAGGAAAAGGAGCTCAACTACTTAATACTTAGTAACAAACATGGAGAGTTAGGCAAATGAAGAGACAGAGGAATATGTTCTAAGTGAAAGAACAAGACAAAATCTTGGTAAAAGAACTTAATGAAATGGAGTAAGCAATCTACCTGATAAAGAGTTCATAGTAATGGTCATAAAAATGCTTACCAAACTCAGGAGAAGAATGAATGAACACAGTGAGAATTTCAACAAAGAGATAGAAAATATAAGAAAGCACCAACCAGAGCTGAAGAATGCAATAACAGAAATGATAAATACACTAGAGGGAATAAACGGCAGATTAGATGATACAGAAAAATGGATCAGTGATCTGGAAGTCAGGATAGTGAAAATAACCCAAATTGAACAGCAAAGAGAAAAAATAATTTTAAAACTGGATAGTGTAAGGGACTTTGGGACAATACCAAGTATACCAACATTCACATTAGAACTCATACCACTCAATATCAAAAAACACAATCCAGTTAAAAACTGGGCAGAAGGGGCATCTGGGTGGCTCAGATGGTTAAGTGTCTTTCACCCCCACCTAGCAGAAACAAACTGCTTCCCCTCTTCTACACTGGGGATGATGTCATAGGAGGCCTAGCAGAGAGGCAGGACTTTTATCACCACAAAGTGGTAACAAGGGCATTCCCCCTGTAGTATCAGTGAAGATCACATGGGGTATTAAAAACTCTCAATCCCACCCTGCAATAATGAAGAGACCCCATCCTCACTGTGTGAGGATCTGGACTTCTACTTCTGGAAGTACTGATGCATCACCCTTCCTTCTCCTGGAAGGACACAGTCAGAGAAAGCCAGCTAAAACAAGAAAGGAAAGTTTAAACAAGATTCAGAGTCTCATAAAATAATATGAAAATGTTCAGGTTTCAGTAGAAATCACTCATCATACAAAGGACTAGAGAAGATCTCAAATTGAATTTTTTAAAAATACGATCAGTAGATACCAACACCAAGATGAAAAATGTATTAGAATTATCTGAGAAATGTTTTAAAACATGGATGATAAAAGTGTTTCAATCAGGTATTAAGAACATTTGTTTGAAACCTTTGAAAAATAGGAAGCCTGAGCAAAGAAATACAAAATCTTGGGGAGGGAGGGAGGAGGGAGGGAGGGAGGGAGGAAGGAAGGAAGGAAGGAAGGAAGGGAGAAAGAAAGAAAGAGAAAGAAAGAAAAAGAAAAAAGACAGACCAAATGGAAAGTTTAAAACTGAAAAATACATTAAGCAAAATATAAATCTCAGTGGGTGAGCTCAACAGAAAAATGGAAGGGGCAGAGGAAAGAATCAGTGAATTAGAAGATATAACCAAAGAAATTATCCAGTTTCAACAAAACAGAGAAAATCAACTAGAAAAAAATGAAAAGCCTTAGGAATCTGTGGGACTATAACAAAGGATCTAACAGTTGTGTCATCAGAGTCTCAGAAAGATGGGAGAAAGAAAGCAGATCTGAAAAGGTACTAGAGAAAATAGTAGCTGAAAACTTTCCAAATTTGCCAAGAAACATAAGCCTACATTAAAAAAAATTTTTTTTTTTAAGATTTTGTTTATTTACTTGAGAGAGAGAGAGAGCACGCACATGCAAGTGAGTGCACGCTCAGGGGAGGGGCAGGAGAAGCAGGTCCCTTGCTGAGCAGAGAGCCCGAGGTGGGACTCGATCCCAGGATCCCGGGATCATGACCTGAGCTGAAAGCAGATGTTTAACCCACTCAGCCACCCAGGTGCCCCTTTAAGTCTACATTTTTAAACAAGCTGAACAAATCCCAAACAGGATAAATGCAAAGAAATCCACACCAAAACACAGAATTTAACTTCTGAATAATAAAGATCAAAAGAAGTCTTGAAGGTGGCCAGAGAAAAATGGGTTTACCCTCAGGGGAAAAACCATATGAATTAAGTGGGGTTCTCATCAGAGGCCACAGAGGCCAGAAGGAGGTAGCACAATGTTTTTTATGTGCTAAAGGAACTGTCAACACAGAATCCTATACCTAGTGAAATTACCCTTCAGAAATGAAGGGGAAATCAAGACTTCCTCAGATGAAGGAAAACTAGAACAATTTGTTACCAGCAGCATCACCCAAAGTAATGGATAATGGAAATTCTCTAAAAGTAAACAATGGAAAACATATCAGAAAAAAAGCAAGAACATGGTAAGCAAAAAGATACATAAATACAATAAGCTTTTCTTCTCCCTCTCAGTTTTCTAAACTATGTTTGATAGTGAAACAAACAGTATAACACTTTCTAATTAGGTTCTAAAAATATTTACAGTTCTATCATAAACAGAAAGTTAAAGGGATGTTAAAGAATGTAATGTTTTGGGACACCTGGGTGGCTCAGTTGGTTAAGCGTCTGCCTTCAGCTCAGGTCATGATCCCAGGGCCCTGGGATCGAGTCCCCCATTGGGCTCCCTGCTCTGCGGGGAGCCTGCTTCTCCCTCTGCCTCTGCCTCTCTCTCTCTCTATCTCTCATGAATAAATAAATAAAATCTTTAAAAAAAAATAAAAAAAAAAGAATGTGATGTTTCTACACATCACACAAACTGGCAAAATAATGACACCAGTCAACCGTAATAAGTTATGTACATGTAATTAGTACCTAGAACAACCATAAACAAGATAAAGAGATACACTTAAAAACAATATAAAAAACTCAAAATGTCATTCTATAAAATGTTTAAGTAACCTTCATGAGAGCAAACAGAAATGAAACAGAAAGCAAACAAAACAATAGACTGAAGCCCTAATATATCAATACTTATATTAAAGTTAAATGATCTAAATATACCAATTAAAATATGAGAGTAGTGGAGCAGATTAAAAGTCATAAATCAACAATATATGTTGTCTACAAGAAACTCACTTCAAATATAATGATATAGACATGCTGGATGGAAAAGGATGTAAAAAGACATGCCAAATATATGACCTCCTTAAGGTCATGATAGCTCTGTATTAATGAAAATTGTATACTCATTCTTCATAAAGGGATTTAGGGTATGAACGAGTTATAAGGCCTGAAAAGCCCTCCCACAAAGTAGTGACTAACATTGCAGAGAGTCTTGGCTGTAGATGCAGAAAATGAGTTTAATGACTTAACCAGAACCAAAAAATTTTTTTTTAATTTTTCTAAAAAATCTAGCTTCAGGCAGCACCACATAAAAACAGTTTGCCCACTTTTGCATTTAAAAATGTGTATGTGGCATACTTGTCTAACATTCTAGGTAAGGGACATGGTGGTAATTAACAAACAGACTAATGGCCCCATTAACATGGGGCCATAATATAGGCAGAGGAGGTGATTCGTAATCCATGAAATAGACTATTGCCCCAGAATTTATCAGAATCTAAAGGCACTGCCTATTGTTCTTAGATCTATGATCGAGTGATAAAGCAAGGTCCAATTCTGTAAGCACTCACCACTGGGCTGGACAGATCCCAGACTCTGGGTATAGTTTCTCTAGGAGCCAGTCATCCAATAAATAAGTAGCCTGCCTGACATATTCTGTGTGCAGCTCTCTAACTTGGTGGGGAACAGTAGGGGGTTTTATCAAGAGCATGGGCTCCCCTAAGGTCTTCATTGATGACAGAATGTCAGTGCTCCCGGCAGTCCTGTGGCCTCTCAGTGATGGCTTATCAAGTGAGGAACAAGAGGAAGGTCTATACTTCGGCAAGATCTCCACGTTCAATGGTAGCCATCAAAGCAGAAATGTACCATGAAACTCCATGGAAAGTCTTCTAGAAATTTGATAAACTGTTGATTTCTTTTTCTTAATTAGTATTTAACCTAAGTGTTTTTTTATTTCTTTGCCAAAAAAGTATGCTGTGTACAGTTCCTTTTCCTCTGTGAAAGAAAAATGACAGAACACCAATTCTATCAAACCTTCACACACAGAGAAAAGTATCTTTCTCCTGATGCTGCAGAGAGGATGGGGGAAATAATTTTCCCTGTATAGTTTCATTCTTACCTGCAAAGTGCTAATGTGAACAGGAGTCCCTGTACCATTCACAGTATTCTTTTTAGCAGCATTTCCACCTTTCCCATCTGCTTGCTCAGCCTTAGCAATTCTGGCTTTTTCTGCTTCAACTCTTTTGGGGTTATTCAACATCACCTGGACGACAGCATACTCCACCAGTGAAGCAAACCCAAAAAGAAGACAAGCAATGAGCCAAACATCAAGAGCCTTCACGTAGGATACTTTGGGAAGTTCAGCAGCAAGGGTTGTACACTCGGAGGCCAAGCTGAGTACCGAGAAGATACCTACAGAAACAGAAATGGAAGTTAAAGTTGCTTTTTACCCCTGTGAAATGTTCTGCAAACATTACTTATTGACAGTATTACTCTCCAGTAAGTTTCAATGCTCCTCAGGTCTCTTTTAAGCTCAAAGAGTATAAAAACAATACTGACATACCTTTTATGTTAGGATTAGTGAATGTAATTGGAGATGTTTGTAAATATTTAATATTTAAAAGTAAACAGAAATTTAAACCAAGGTATAAAAACCAATTTAGATCTGGTTTAAATACTATAGATGTCTAAAACTATTTTGTAGTATCTCAGAGAAAACCATAAAGCCCTCTACTTAGTTATGTCATTTTTCAGCTTTATTTTAGACAGTTATAGAACTGAATTTTACCCCATGAAGAATTATACCTGAGCAAGAATAGAACATACAAAGCAATTTTCTGATAAGGCTCACAATTAAAAAACAAAATCTAATAGAAAAGATAAAGATAGAGCATCCCTGATTATTTCAGGGAAACAAATGATTTCAGCTTTTCAAGGAAAGAATATTATTCTGCTATATGTAATATTAACCATTTATGGAAAGCTAACTAGTTATATATCAATTGAAGTCAAATAATTGTAAGATCCTAAAGGAAAATTGCATTAATTTATGTCCCTCTTTTTCTTTACACTTGCCACACTCCCAGCTTTTCCCTTTTGTCTCTTTCTTCCTTCCTTCATATTTTCAGAAGAGGGGATGGGCAAATATGACCCACTGGCACTGACTACCAATAACACACTGGGTCAGAAAAAGTCTTATATGATGTTAAGGGAGACTCACTTTCAGCCATGTAGTAAACAGGTGTGCCTTGACTCTGTGAGCCCAATTCACATATGGGGCCAAGTGCACTTTTTTATTCTAGATTTGACCACCACTGAGAATTAATGCATATGTTATCCTAATAAAGATGCACTTGGCTCTTTTCTCTTGCCTTGGGAATATGGTAACTACTATATTAGAATTAATAATCAGTTAAAACATTGAAAAATGTATTCCACCAGTTGCATTCAGTGGCTCCTAAAAGGTATAGAGTTTGTTGGTTGTTTTTTTTTTTTTTTATGTATTCAAGAGTTAAAACATTCTCTACTAGAAAGGTTTCTAGCAGATGGAAACAGTATTACTTAGAATATAAAAATTTGATAAACATCTAATCTGCTATCATACTGACTATCCTTAGTCCTGAAGAAAATTAAGAATTAATTAATAGGATTATATTTTTAAAAGTTAATATAGGTCTTAATGTTTCTAACCTGGAAGTGGAAAATAACATAAAAATCCAAGGTCCTATCACTTATCGCTTGAAACTACAGTTAATTATACCTATGGGCATTAATTTGGCAAATTATATTTCCAAGTCAATTTTTCTATTCTTTTTTTTTTTTTAAAGATTTTATTTATTTATTTGACAGAGACACAGCAAGAGCAGGAACACAAGCAGGAGGAATGGGAGAGGGAGAAGCAGGATTCCCGCGGAGCAGAGAGCCCGATGCGGGGCTCGATCCCAGGACTCTGGGATCATGACCTGAGCCGAAGGCAGACGCTTAACGACTGAGCCACCCAGGCGCCCCATCTATTCTTAATCAAATGTTATGTGCCAACCTATCAATCAAAAACAAGCCTTACTTAATTCCTTGAGATAGACTATATTGACACACCATTCTCCATGTTTCCATAGCATTTCACGTTCCTCAATAACAAAGAATGTATCAAACTTAGTAGTATACCTGAATATTTTCTGATATATTAGAAACTTCATGAGAAAATGGAGAATAATGTCAGATTATAGAAGATCCTAAAAGCACTATAATGAATTTACCATGTTTGGTAAAAAATATTAAGGAACTGTAAACTGAGGGAAGAGAAATGAAATTAGCAAAAGAATGTTGAATAACATTACTCTGGTAGGGATGTACAAAACAGACAAATAAAGGAAAAAATAGTAGTTGCAGAAACAAAGCATGAGGAAAAGAAGGACAGAACTGATATAAAAAGGATTTTGAAGAAAACATTTTTAAAAGACTTGGTTATTGACTGAAGGAAGAAAGAAAAGATTGAGACAATTTTCTGAAAAACAGATTACTAGGAAAGTACCCATAAAAGATGGGAAGAAGAGACTTAGAAAAGATAATGACTTTGGTATGAAAATACTGAGTTAGGTTAGATAAAGGCCAAGAAATGCAAAATTGATAACCATGACACAGCACAATGCACTTGAGAGTTTTGTAAAAGGAAAGATAAGCCAATATCATGCAGATGGAGGTCATGTTGAAAATATAGAAAACTTTGTGAGGAAGAAATGCTGGAGTGTCAGAGAAAGAAGACCAAAGGAACAGAGAAGGGATTGCCTTTTAAAAGGAATGATATGACATTAATAGATTTTGGGGGAGGGAGAAAGGAGGTATTTATAATCCCAGGTATTAAGTTAGAAACCATGATAGTCAATTCTATTATGGTTTTTATCATTTCAAAGATGAAAGAATAGAAATGGAGATGAGTTATGGAGGAGGAGAATGTGAACATCACTGTATGCCTTCTCTTTAGGAAATCATATTAAAATAGGAAATACCCATTTTTTTTTATCCTAAAATAGGAAATCATGGGGCATCTGGGTGGCTCAGTCGGTTAAGTGGCGACTCTTGATTTCGGCTCAGGTCGTGATCTTGGGGTGTGAAATTGAGACCTGCCTCAAGCTCTGCACTCAGAATGGAGTCTGCTTCAGATTTTCTCTCTCTCCCTCTCCCTCTCCCCCAACCCCCACTCACACACACTCTCTCTCTAAACAAATAAAATCTTTTTAAAAAATGAAATCTGAGCAAATAATATTTCTTTAGACAAATACTGTGGCATTATCTTAATATATTCTTCAAATAAAATTACTTCACTGGTAAATAATGCATATTGAAATTTTGTCTGAATTTTAATAAATTATAAACCAATCAGAAGAAATTACACTACTAGGTATCTACTCAAAGAAAATGAAAACTCTAATTTGAAAAGATATATGTACCCCTAAGTTTATTGCAGGATTATTTACAATAGCCAAGATATGAAAGCAAACCAAGTGTCCAACGATAGATGAATGGATAAAGAAGATGTGGTATATATATATATATATATATATAGTGTAATATTACTCAGCCATCAAAAAAAATGAGATCTTGCACATTTGCAGCAATGAGGATGGAGCTAGAGAGTATAATGCTAATGTAATAACAAATGCCATGAACTGGTCAAGGAATAACTGCAAGTGTTCTCATACCTATCTAAACTACAAATGATTTTTATCTCATTAAGCAATAAACTATAAAATTCATATATGTGTAATTGTGATTAATAAAATGAAGATTTATTTAGAAGTACTACTAAATTATATTAAGATGTTATCATTTCACAATGCCTTAATCAAAGGATACTAAAAGGAAAACCATTATTAATATTATGTGGGAATCCAAAAATACTTTTTGACATTTCTGTAAGAGATCTTATTCCAGATGAAAAGAGTACAAGAAAGAAATGTATGTATGCGTGGTCTGCTAGAGGTCTGAGTTGTAACCTAAATTATTAATCTTTTTGACTGAAAGTTATTTGTTTAAAAAATTCCTTTTTAGCAGCAGTTAAAGCATTTTATGTACTAGAGAAAGGAAATGTTATGTATAATTTATAAAAGTTACTTCCAAAGTTACTTGCATAGTTACTTCTATACTTAAAGAAGTAGCTAAAGACAAAATTCTTTACCTAAAATTCATAGAGGGAGCTTTCATGTTTGTCAACAATGGAAAAGGTAAATCAAAATGAGATTGGGAGAATGTTGAGCATCTTTTCATGTGTTTATTGGCCCTCTGTAAGTCTTGGAAAAACATCTGTTCAAGTCTTCTGCCCATTTTTTAACTGGATTTTTCTGTTTCGTTTTGTTTTGTTTTGTTTTGTTTGCTATTGAGTTGTATAAGTTTTTGTATATTTTGGATATTAGAGTTATCAGATATATGATTTGCAATTGCTTTCTCCAATTCGGTAGGTTATTTTTTCATTTTATTGATGGTTTCCTTTGCTGTGCAGAAGCTTTTTAGTTTGATACAGCCTCACTTGTTTATTTTTGCTTTTGATTCTTTTGCTTTTGATGTCAGATTCAAAAAATCATCACCAAGACCTATGTCAAGGAGTTTACCCCGTTTTCTTCTAGGAGGTTTATGGTTTCAGGTCTTACACTTAGGTCTTTAATCCATTTTGTGTTAATTTTTGTGTATGGTATAAGACAGTGGTCCAGTTTCATTCTTTTGCAAGTGACTGTCCAATTTTCCCAACACTACTGAAGAGACTGTCCTTTCTCAATTGTATAGTCTTTGCTCCTCTGCCATAAATTAATTGACCACATATGCATGGGTTTATTTCTGGGTTCTCTATTCTGTTTCATTAATCTGTGTGTCTATTTTTCATGTCAATACAATACTGTTTTAATTGCTATAGCTTTGTAGTATAGTTTGAAATCAGGGAATGTGGATACCTCCAACTTTGTTTTTCTTTCTCAAGACTGCTCTGGCTATTTGGCATCTTTTGTAGCTACATATAAATTTTAGAATTATTCTATTTCTGGGAAAAATGCTATTGGAATTTTGTTAGAGATTCCACTGAATTTGTGTACTGCTTGGAGTAGTATAGACATTTTGACTATATCAATCTTCTAATCCATGGGTATGGAATATCTTTTCATTTATTTGCATTGTCTTCAATTTATTTCATCAATAACTTGTCGTTTTCAATATACAGCTCATTTTACATCCTTGGTTAAATTTATTCCTAAGTATTTTATGCTTTTTAATGCAATTACAAATAGGATTTTCTTAATTTATCTTATAGCTCATAATTAGTGTAAAGAAACACAACAGATCTTTGTGTGTTGATTTTGTATCTTGCAACTTTACTGAATTCATTTATTAATTCTAGCAGTTTTTTGATGGAGTCTTCAGGGTTTTCTGTATATGTCATCTGCAAATAGTGACAGTTTTAATTCTTCCTTTCCAATTTAGATGCTTCTCTCTTTTTCTTGCCTAATTGCTCTGGCCAGAACTTCTAATACTATGTTAAATAAAAATAGCAAGAGTGGATATCCTTGTCTTATTCCTGATCTTAGATGAAAAGCTTTCAGGTTTTCACTGTTGAGTAAAAAATTGCCATTTACAACAACATGGATGGAGATAGAGAATATAATACTAAGTGAAATAAGAGAAAGACAAATACTATACAATTTCACTCATATGTCGAATTTAAGAAACAAAACAAATGGGCAAAAGAAAAAAAAGATGAGAGAGAGAGAGAGAGAGACAAATCAAAAACCAGACTCTTAACTATAGAGAACAGACTGGCGACAGAGGCGACAAGGAAGGAGGGGATGGGTGAAATAGGTGAAGGGGATTAAAAGCACACTTATCATGATGAGCACTGAGTGATATATAGAACAGTTGAATCACTACATTGTATAGCTGCAACTAATATAATACTGTATGTTAACTATACTGGAATTAAAATAAAATTTAAAAACTTAATAAAAATAAAATAATTATTTTTTTTAAAAGCAAAACATATTTTTACTTTAAAATCAAGAAATCTCATTCCTGGGTATTTACCCAAGAGTAATGAAAACATATGTCCATACAGAGACTTGTACACAATTATTCATAGCAACATTATTTATAATAGCATTATTCAGATTGGAAACAATCTAAATGTCTATCAATTATTGAATGGAAAAACAAACTGTGCTGTATCCATACTATGAAATACTGCTCAGAAATAAGATAGAGCCAAATATAAACATAAGCAACATCATGAATACATGTCAAAAACATAAATATGTCCCTACCCCTTGCCCATTCACTACCTTCTCTCTCTCTTCAAACTCACAATAATCTACCCTATCTCACTGGCAACTCAGATCTTTCTTCCTATTTTATTGAGAAAACAAAATCATTTACAAGCCCCCACTATCATATCTACTCACCTCTCTCTGTCTAAACCTATATACTCTGCCTTCTCTCCTGATATTGTAGATAAGGGGACAGTAAACTGATGCACAGGGCACTGGAACACACCAACATCCACTCAAGTATGTACTGTCAACTCCTATTGTTTAGGAGTTGCAACAAAAACCATATGGCCCACAAACATGGAATATTTACTATCAGGCCTTTTACAGAAGGAGTTTGCTGATCCCTGGGACAAATCCACTTTGTCCTAGCAAAGGCCAGTCTGTCTACCAGATCTCATCCCCTCTCACTTCTCAAGGACTCTGCTCCTGTACTTCTTCCATCTCTCATTTTTTCCTTTGTTAATGCTTGTTTTCCACCAAAAATAAACATACTGTAATTTTGTCCACCTTAAAAACAAAAACCAGAAAGCTCTCAACTCCTATTCCCACCCCAGTTATTTCCTTATTCTCTTTTTCTTTTTACAGTTAACAATCTCCACCGGGTTGTTTATACTGGATGCCAATAGTTCCTCCCCTCCTGTTCTCTCTTGAAGTCACTCCAACCAAGCTTTCCTCTTGTCACTCTATGGAAACTGTCCTTATCATGGACACCAGTGACTTCCCCAGGTTGCTGAATCCAATGACAATATTTAGCCCCAAACTCACTTGATTTATAAGCAGCTTGACTGATCACTCCCTTCACCTAGAAATGCTTTCTCCATTTGGCTCCCAGGAACCTACATCATGCTGGTTGTTACTCATCTTCTCAGTCTCAAGGGTTGAGTTGTTAGATGTCTTCTGTACCTGTACTCCAGTCTCATCATTTTAAAGACAAATATAAACGTAAGCAACTTCAGATAAATCTGAAGTTCTTACCACCAGCCTTGATCTCTCCTAAAAACCCCAGACCTGTATATCCAACTGACTATCTGATAACACTACCTAAAAGATATCTCAGATTTAACATGTCCAAAAAGAAGCTCCTGGTCTGCCCATCTTCTCAAACCTACTTTACACAAAGCTTTTCCCATCTAATTTAGTGGCAGCTTCATTTTCCTGGATTCTCAGCCAGAAAAACCTTTGAAGTCAGCTTTGAGTCTGCTTTCTTAAATCCTACATACAACACATTTACAAAACTCTTTATCTCTACCATATCCATCATCTATTTATGAGCATCTCTACCCCTTGGCAATGCTGTGATTGTTTCACCTGGACTATTATAGCTTCCTAACTGCTTTCCTTGCTTCCACCCAAGCCTCCTTTTACTGGGTTCTACACAAAGCAGGCAAGGAGAATCTGTTAAAATTTAAAGCAAATCATGTGCAAAAGCCCTCAAGGGCTTCCCATTTTACTCAGAATAAAAGCCAAAATCATCAGAATGCCTTAGGAGATGTTACATGGTCCCCTCACCATTGTTCTCTTTCTGACCTCATCTACTAATCATTCTTTCACTCATTCTGCTCCGGCCACATTGGCCTTGGCAGTCCCAAAATATTCCAAGCATGTTCCTGCCTCAGGAATGTTGGCCTTGATGATCACTATCCCAGCTCATTCTTTCCTAGATATCCACAGTGACTCATTTTTTCACCTCTATCACATTTTTATCCAATATCACTTCTCTCTGAGCAATTCCTGACAAGCAGGCTGCTGTCCCTGAACTCTCTGTCCCTACAGCAACTTTCCACCCACTCCCTGGGCATTAGGAATTTTTTTTAACTGAAGTGTAGTTGATATACAATGTTATATTAGTTTTAGGTGTATAACACAGTGATTCCACAATTTTATACATTGCTCAATGCTCACCATGATTAAATGTAGCCATCACCACTCACCACACCCTGTTATTACAATGTTATTGACTATATTCCCTATGTTGTACTTCTCATCTCCATGACTTATTTGTTCTATAACTGGAAGTTATATGTCACCATCTTATATATTACATATTGTACTTATTTGGTGTCTCTTTCTTTCCAAAAAAATACACTCATTGAGGCTTAGTGTTTTCCTTTTATCTATTTCATTAACTATCTATTTGCTATTTACTTTAACTCTATGCCTATCTTCTGGAATATTGCTTAGGACGTAGTTGGTGCACAATAAATACTTGCTGAATGAATCAAGTGTGTAAAAGTGCTTTATAAACTATAATGTAATGTATAAATGAGGCATATTATTAACTCCTGAATGGGTAATAAGCACTCTCCACTCATTTTTTCAATCCTCCAATTAACCCTTTGAGTATTTTTTCATCCCTACTGACATTTTAAGAGTATGTTTAAAGACGTTAGATGTGTTTGTTGTCTAAATTGTCACAACTAGTAAGCAGAGAGCAGGAATTCAAATCCAGATTTAACTGAAGAGACTGACTTTAAACCATTAAACACATTTGCTTCATACAACCGTTCTACTGGATGTTAAGTGGACAGTTTAGGGACTTTATGACAGAAGTCCTGTAATAGAAAGGGATTTACAGAGAAAAATTCTTCAAGAATATGTCAGGGATTGAAATGTCTCTACAGTACTCCTGGAAGTCTGACATTTCAATTTTTATCACTGTGTAAGAGTACAATATTACTAATAAGCAAAAAATTAACTATTTGGGGGGAAATGCATGATATTTTTGACAAGTCTAAGGATACAAATCTAGTTTTTAGGAGTTTTATTCTCAGTGCAGTATACTACATAGTTCACTCTCATCCCCTAAAGGAGTTAATCAATGGGTTGTCATTGTCTTCATTCCAGATACATAACCATTAGGATGAAATTTCCCACATTTCTGGTTATTAAGATGTAGATTTGGTCTCTGCGGCTCTTATTAAATATAAACCATCAAATTTCTTATCCAGGTAAAACTGTCATTTTCATTGCTTCTTCCTGGTTGCCTACTTTTTAAAATCTGTATTTCATTTAATTCCCTCAATATGTCAGGAGGGAGATTTGCACAGGGTCTTTTCAATGGAAATAAAAAATGAAATGCTGCAACCAGTCAGTCACTAAGAGGTCAGATATCCCACAGCCTTATCTATATAAGTTCCAGGTGATATTCAGAAAACACACACACATATATTCACGCAGTAATGAAACATTTTAAAACACTCTAAACAATCAAAATTTGTTGTAACAATGTCCTTATTTTTAAGTTTATTCACTTCATCCATTAGAAGAGCTCTTGATTATTTCATGAAGCAAAGACTTTTTCACCCCTATATACACACAGTTTTCAAGACTGGCTGATGCTGTTTCTCTGTGACAGAGCATTAAAAATAACAAATGGGGTAGCACGGATAACCAGCTCTTCTTCTCCCTAGCCACTCCTGATGACAGAGCACACAGTAATTGATGTTTAAGAAAATGACATGAAGTCGTGTTTAAAAAGATACATTGTACCACATATTCCCTGGCGATGAGTATGAGATAGTAGACAATATTATTTAGAAAGATTCCCTTCATAATAGTTCTGTGTTTAAGTATGGCACTATTGGGGATTTTAGACTTTAGTTATCTGTGAAAATTACTTAGTAATAATTATTGCATGAAAGTCAAAGTGGGATAGATTAACCAAAGATATGAAAAGAAAAAAACTTAGTATAATTATTGAGCGCATAAACATTGAGAAAATCTAGTTCAATGTCAAGTTTTTAAGAAAGTCTAAAAACAGAGGAGAGAAAGGTTGCCTTCAATTCTAAAAGTCTGCTTTTTAAAACAGTTGATTATATAGCGAGTTATGCAAGGACATAACGTGTTCCCAACATGAGACAGAAGCACGGAATACTCTACCCAGGGGCACTCTGGCAGCACTTGCGTCCGGGTTGATCCAGAAGGAGAGCCAGGAGAGAACCACTATGAGCAAGGTTGGGGCATAGACACCCATCATGTAAAACCCAACCTGCCTCCTCAGGGTGAAGATGACTTCCACGCAGGTGTAGTACCCTTTCAGAAACAAACTTTATGTTAGAAATAGGAGGGGCTCACCTACCTACAACAGCAAAAACCAATAGTGTACCTGTAAATTGTAAGTCACTTCTGTCTGAGGCAGTTTCACAAAGTAAATTCCCCAAAAAGAGTTTGTTCCTATAAATATGTAATTTATTTGATGTAGAAGGTTGACATGATGGGACCCGTCTCACCTGACCTTTCACAACTTTATTATGATGTTGAGAAATAGACACCACATGCTGCTCCACTATGTCAGTGTCTCAGCTTTTAAGTCTTTGTTCAGGGAACTGGCAATGAACTTAAACTTTTCATTACCCATGGGCACTCTCAGAGCAATTGATCTAAGGGGGTCATATAGGGAGCAGTAAATCAAAGTGGAACAAGTCTAAAAAGAAACATTCCACGACTATATATTGTCAGTATAATTTTTCAGCTACATGTATCACTTCTTATCTAGAAAGCGTAGCAGTCTACGATAACTCCTATGCATATTTAAACCTTAAAAAATTAAGTGTATTAGAAGTAAATCTTAGCAAGGATAAGAAATACATGTTTTCATTCTATAGAGATAAAAGATTATGAAGGGTAGATATCTGATATTCCTCTCAATTCTCTCCCTTCCTCCACTCCAGGCCCTCAAACATGCCTTATGAGAGAAAGGACTTCATTGTCACAAGCTGAGACAAATGCAGAAATAGCCCTACAACATAATTCTAGAGATGCCATGACACCAACTAGTCCCCCAAATTAATCACAAATTATGTGCAGCCTCATCATAGCCTTTGCTGACTTGAGAAACAAAATAAGTGACAAGATATTGTTCTAGCACCAGAATAGGAGAGACGCTTCTAGATGTTTGAGACTTTTTTTTTTTATAAATGCTTTAGCCCTTTCAGTTAGCAATTTAAATATAGTATTTAATGCCTGAAGTGCTTAATTTTGATAAAAATGTCATTTGCCATTCAAAAAAAGCAAGGTCATGTGAAAATAACAGAAAGTTAAAATGTCTCTGATTGTGTTCAGCTTCAACATCATTATTTCAAAATGCTGAAACAAATAAATCAATGAATAAATAAAATAATTATGGGGAAAGGACAATATTACTTTTTTACTATTTTATATTTTAAAAGTAATATTTATCTGATTTTCCTAATTAGTAAGAATACACACACTTCTGGCACTGGAACGATCTTCAAATTCATTCACTAATGGTACCTATGGCAGTACTAGCACACAAGAGGGTCTTTAAAAATGCTCAGAAAAACCGCTATTCACATCCTCTTATTAAATAACTTAGACCTGGGGCGCCTGGGTGGCTCAGCCGTTAAGCGTCTGCCTTCGGCTCAGGTCGTGATCCCAGGGTCCTGGGATCGAGCCCCACATCGGGTTCCCTGCTCAGCGGGAAGCCTGCTTCTCTCTCTCCCACTCCCCCCGCTTGTGTTCCCTCTCTCGCTGTCTCTCTCTCTGTCAAATAAATAAAATCTTAAAAAATATAATAATAATGAGGGGCACCTGGGTGGCTCAGTCATTGGGCGTCTGCCTTTGGCTCAGGACCCTGGGATCAAGCCCCGCATCAGGCTCCTGCTCCTCAGGAAGCCTGCTTCTCCCACTTCCCCTGCTTGTGTTCCCTCTCTCGCTGTGTCTCTCTCTGTCAAATAAATAAATAAAATCTTAAAAAAAAAAAAAAGAAATCTTCTGGTACAGGGGCGCCTGGGTTGTTCAGTCATTGGGTGTCTGCCTTCGGCTCAGGTCATGATCCCAGGGTCCTGGGATTGAGCCCTACATCAGGCTCCCTGCTTGGCGGGGGGCCTGCTTCTCCCTCTCCCACTCCCCCTGCTTGTGTTCCATCTCTCGCTGTCTCTCCCTCTGTCAAATAAATAAATAAAATCTTAAAAAATAATAATAATAATAACTTAGACCAGAAATCTATCCTTTTCCCAGTGTGAATTATAATCATTGCTACCTCTGAGAGATTAGAAAGATAGTGGGGCTAACATGTAACAAAAATAAAGAGCTGACTGGGGCGCCTGAGTGGCTCAGTTGGTTAAGCGACTGCCTTCGGCTCAGGTCATGATCCTGGAGTCCTTGGATCGAGTCCCTGGATCGAGTCCCGCATCGAGTCCCGCATCGAGTCCCACATTGGGCTCCCTGCTCGGCGGGGAGTCTACTTCTCCCTCTGACCCTCCCTACTCTCATGTGATCTCTCTCATTCTCTCTCTCTCAAATAAATAAATAAAATCTAAAAATAAATAAATAAAGAGCTGACTGGAACTGAAGTAAATTCTAATTATGCCAAATGTTTCCAAATTATATAAAAAAAACAACACCCCCAAAATGCAGCATGTTTGTCATTTTTTTAATTTTAATTTTATTAAAACTAGGCAATTAATTTAAATTGTGCATAGGTTTTAAAAAGATACAAGAGGTCAAACAAGGAGAACTCCCTCCCTTTTCTCTTCCCACCACTCATCTTAACTTCCTGCCTGGACAAACAAGAACATGTTTCTAACTAACAATCATGTGCAAAATTTCCAAAATATTATCTTTTATAAGTCCAATTTTCTGCAATTAAGAGGCTCACAGTATTTCCTAAAAGTGGTTCTGAAGTACCTGGCTTGGCAATAGCATCATTTATTCAAGTTCATTTTGTGTTTGCCTAGTGCTGTGAGATAGAGAACAAAATGTATTTGCTTACTGCATCTTTTTAGGTAGCCTAAATTGTCACAAATATTACAACAGCTTATTGTAGAGTTGCTCACTTTAAAATGAATTTTTGCATTCCATTCCACCATGTTTAAATGACAGCCTAAATAACAGGAATCCTATACTCTGAAGCCAGTTTCCACCCCCTCCATTTATGAAGGCACCCACGAGGGGAGCTTCCCAGGACTGGGATGAATTTGGCAATAAAATATATGCTTGGATATTATAGTGATTTGCTCCATAAAATTTTATGAGAAACATTTCTTGATCCTTTTTGATCTTTTCCTAGTACTGTTACATTTATGAGAGGCAGGTGGGCAGCTAATTGATATAAATGTTCATTGGCAAATTCAATTTACTTTCTATTTCCTGTGAGGTTTTATTTCATTATTATTCACTTAGGCTTGCAATTTAAGTATTTTTGTATACTTGTCTTCCCATATATCTCTCCACCTTTGTAACATCTATAATTTTAAAAAACTGTAATTTTCAATAAAGCTAAAGCCAAATCATCATTTCTGATTATTTCTGTACAAGTTAAAGAAAATATTGTCCATCATTTAGTAAACGTTGCTGTCTATATCTTTTTCACTATTCTACATATTAGGCATTCATATATTTAGAAGGTACCACATTTGTAAATGCATATCTAAATATTATCCAAACATTAAAATATGTTTTACTTATATTCATATGATGATTCATGTACATTCATGAAATGTATTACATTTCATGTAAACACTGAAATGCACGTTTACTGAAACACAGTAAATGACAATTATCGTTATGTTAGACATAAGTTCTTTTATTGTTGTTTTCTGTAGCTAATGAGAGACCTGTGACATACTTAAAATAGCTCAAAAAGTACCACAGAAAACTTTACTTCTTATAATCTTGAGTAATCTCTCAAGAACAAAAACAAATAGTATTTATTTTATGTGTGTACCATATTAGAATATAGATCTATAAAAGGGCAGTGATGTCTCCTTTATTCCCTTAAATGGAGATATGTAGATGTAGGGCTTAAAGGCAAAAAAATAAGTGCCCCCAGGATTTTCAACGCTATCTCATAATTTTAAGCTATCACATAAAATCAGAAATAAAATTACTAGTTTTATTTTAATCTTTAGATGAAGTTTAAAACTTCAATAGGGTCATTTCAAATTTCTCAAAACAACTTAGAGACTATTCATTTTGAAATGTTAAGCATATAATCTAGGTGTGGATAACTATTTGCAAAGTATAACAGGACTGACTCCACAGGTAGTATAATAATGTCAGACTCACTATTCCAGTTAGTAACAGTATGACTTGGGTAAGTGTCTTTGCTTTATTATCCTAACATGTAAAATAGAGAAAATAAAAGTACTGAATTCACAGGGTTGTTGTGAGGATTAAAATACAGAGTTCCTGCAGAGCACTAAAATAATGCCTGACATACAGCCAGAACTCCAAAAGCCATCTACTAAATATGTGTTTCTATACAACAATCCCAAAAGGATTTTCCTTGGCTTTCAAACTTTTTTTTTTTTTTTCATCACTAGGTGACCTGTAAAAGTTTCTAAACACTGTAGTCCATTTCCTTAATTTGAGTGAGTACAGGGAAAAGGAGTACTGTGCTTAGTTCAATGGCTGACATTGATTTGCCTGTAACATTCAGTAAGTCCTCACTCACCCTACTCCTCAGTTATTTTCTGTGTTAAATAAAGGAACTGGCTCAGAATTGTCAATAAGATCACTTCCATATCTAAAAGTCCATGTATCGATGACTTCTTCATTGAGTACTCTGATGGTCAAATTTTTAAGAGCTCTCAGATTTTCCTTTTTAAATTCTTTTATAAGTTCTTTTAGCAGTATATTTGCTTATTATCTCTCTTGTTCTAATATACTATTAGTTCTATAAAAGAAGGAACTATTTATATATAAATGCTATGTAATCCATTAAATTATGTGAAGGTCAACGACAACAGAGGCTTAAACTAACTTTATCTCCAAGTAGCCTAAGTGTTGCATTATTGTAGCACTGTAAATGTGCAAACATTCACTCTGCTTTCTTTAGTATTATATTTTGTCTTTGATGATGCCATGATGGCAGCATTATAAGCTCAAGCATCTGATCTCCCTGAATTCAACACAATTACACTATACATTTTTATTTTTTCAAGTCAACATAAATGTTGCAATACATTTAAAGTTAAATTGTATCTATTTCTCTTTTTTTAAAGATTTATTTATTTTAGAGAGAGTTTAAAAGCACCATGGGGGTGTGGGAGAAGGGGCAGAGAGAGTCTCAAGCAGACTCCTTGCTGAGCGCAGAGTCCTACATTGGTTTGATCTAAGGACCCAGCCAAAATCAAGTGTTGGGCACTTAACCAACTGAGCCACTCAGGCGCTCCTAATTATATCTATTTCTGAACATCTTTGTCATATCTTTGCTTACTTCCTCATAGAAAATTAGGATTGTGTAATTTACAAGTTGAAATGATTAGTTTGAATGTAATGAGCAAAATCAATCAGCCTTTTATGTATGTTACTATGGGAAAAAACATTATATTTAATATCTAAAACCCTCAATAACTTTATCAGTTGTGACTCAAATGTTGAATATGAATCATATTATTAAAGTATTGCTTAGTGGGTATTATATTTTCATTTCTGCAAAGCTTGAGGTAATGTAATGAATGAGGTTAATCTGTTGTGCTTTTCACAATCAGCTGTTCCATAACCTAGGCCAACAATATTATACAGGGAGTATTTACTGATGTCCAGTTATTCTCCACACTTATTGCTTCCTACACAGCATAAAGATCAGTGCCTTGTAAAACTAAGAATATGGGTCAACCAACATCTACAACCTGCCTAAAAGACAAGAGACAAGTGTATATGCATTGCATTGATCAAATCCATGTTTGGCTCCAAACTGAAACTTGCCAGAAGCAGAGTTTCTTGGCAACACCTAAGAAAACCATTGCCTGGGAGAGTTCATATTACTAAAATAAAAAATTAAAAACCTCTTGTTATCTAGAATTACATAAAGAAAAGCAAAACTATTTAGTAATAAACATTTTTAAGAACTTTAGTGAATGTAATTTTATGAAAGATTTAAATATATGAACGCAAAGATAAACTACTTGTAAATATTGAACTCACTTTTTAACTAATTTTCTTCTATTCTGTTCCTAGCATATGTTAAAATTAAAATGAACCTTTGAAATAGGATTTAGTTTTGTTTAATTCAAAGACTATTACTTACCAGTGCCTTTATAGTATTTTGTACAGTTACCATATTCGATATCTTCCTTTTTAATATCAAACTGAGGCAAGGCAATTTTTTCTAACTGAACAGGATCTCCTGACTGCCAGATAAATCGTAAATCATCAGTTGTGTAGCCAACTATAAACAAAAGTAAATAAATGAAAATATTAGTTTGAAATATAATTATTAATACTTTCTTAATATTTTAAGAATCCAATTACTAAACACAGAAATGGTAAGATTATAGGCCATTCTTCTATGAAATTTTTGTTAAAAATGCAAAGAGATAAAATCTATGGCCATCAATGAAAACATAAGCACAAATTTACAGATAATTGACTTAAAGAAAGAACAAGCTAAAACAATGAGCATATCATAAATAGTTACAATTTCACTGCCTCATATATAGTAGCATATTTTGCTATGTCAGAATTCAGAACTGTCATCAATAAAAAGTAATAAATAAGTCATACTAGCTTTCTGAATATATTCAGAATAGAGTCATTCACAATTATACAATATGCTACCTGGAAATTAAAAAAAAAAAATCTTAAGCACCGAATCACTTATACTTTTGAAGAAATAACCATAAATTTCCCTAAAGGCATTGCATTGCACAGGAAAGCAGTAAAACAACCTCTCAAATGGACATCATTATTAAATGTGGAAGCACACATTTTGGGTTTAGGTAATATGGCTACAATTCAAGGACCTATGGGGTTTTACAGCATACAGTAGCCTACCATTCAACGCTAGAGTATATGGATTTTTCAAAGCAATACTTCAGTGCATCTGGCAATAGATTTGAATGTAAATATCCAGTTGGAATTTTTTACACAAATACATATTGACACACAGGCCTAAATATATACAACACATACACAAAAATGTACATACGTACATACACTTACATCTGTAAAATCTCAATTTATACTTAGAAAGCAGTAGAGATTGTTCAAATTTAGGCTCCAACTTCAGTAAATTTTTTTTTAAAGATTTTATTTATTTATTCATGAGAGACAGAGAGAGAGAGAGAGGGGCAGAGGGAGAAGCAGGCTCCCAAGGAGCAGGGAGCCCGATGCGGGACTCGATCCCAGGACGCTGGGATCATGACCTGAGCCGAAGGCAGACGCTTAACCATCTGAGCCACCCAGGCGCCCTAGTAAATTTTTTTTAAAAAAAACAACAGATAACCACAAAGTAACTTTAAAGCATATCATCTAGCAAGTATATATAAGATATTTTACAAGGTCATCATTCTTTACTTTTTGCTGAAATAGGTCATGGTATATAGGTATTCAGGCAAAGGCTGCCTTATACTAGTGTTAGTTTTTCAAGTTTTATGTCCTACTTTTATTTTCAAAAGATAAGCATCATAGAGAATTAATTGATAAATAATAATTTCAATAATCATTTTAATTAATATACCTATACCTTAATATGGTACTTCTTTCATGAACTGAAAAATGTATGATCATAAACACAAAAATTCCAATTTTGCAAAAAAAATTTTTTAGACATCCACAGAGAATGACTACTTGGTAGGATTTAGGCACTGTTTTTTAATGTTTTTAAATTTTCTGCTCTGAACATGTGGCTCTAACAGCAGAACAGTTATTAGGATACTGTTTTCTCCTTTATTTATATTATCAATTCAAATGATGATGGCAATTGGAATAAGTTAGAAGTGTACACCTACATAAACTGAAAGGAAAACCTAGTACCCAAAGGTTGTGTCTATCTTAGTAATTTTTACAGTAAAAGAATAACAGTAATTTTCCTAAATAAATTATTCTAATGACTATTTGTAATAAAAAGCATTAATTTTACCATTGTTATCTAAGAGACTAGCAGAATGTATTGCCTAGAACTTTTAAGCATTTTTATTGCTATATTCACTTAGGGTCTCATTTACATACAGCTCTCCAGTTGCATCTTGCAACGTTGGGTGTCCATGGGAAACAAGGTCAAGTCCAAAGGGCATGAAAGAGTAATAGATAACCTGAAAGTAGAAACAGGTCTTAGAAGTCACTTAATATGTTTTTCTGTGATAATCTAACTTAAAAATATATATACATATATATATATCTGTACAAATATTAAAGAATACCTCATGCTGACAAGAACATCTCCATCACGAAAAATAAAGAGAAGGATATTTTCCTGGGTCACATCATGAAAATTGGCACTTTTTTCGTTTGCAAAAAATAAGTCAGGTTTCCAAAGACATTTGTACATTGTGGGATCCACCGTCAGTGCATCTGAGCCCCGAAAATCACTAGGGAGCTTCAGCCTGGGATCATTCCATTTCTGTCTCAAGAAAATGTTAACTCTATAGTCCTGGAAAAAAAAAAAATGTGTGTATGTGTGTGTTTACTGCTATTTGAAAGAATATATTCAGCACCAGAATAAAAAGAGTTTCAGTGATAAGCAGCATAAATATTTTTAGTCTCCCACCATCAAACAGGATCAAAACTGCTTGGTCACTAAATATAAAGAGCCCCACGGGCAGTATAAAAAGACCCTTGTGTCTATTTAACAACTCTCTACAGAAATTTCCTTAGCACTTGCTAGCTCCAACATCAAAATATAACTTTACCAATAATTGCTTCACCTTTTTACAAATGCCAATTACGCCAGTTTGTTAAGTGGTGTTATTGTAAAAACATGAGACTGCTAAATATTGTCATTATTCTTCCCAAAAAAAGTAGAAAGCTAAATATTGTCATTATTCTTCCCAAAAAAAGTAGAATAAAATTAAATTAAAAACAGATAAGAAGCCAAGGGAAAATGTTTCTATTTGCTTTTTACTAAGTAGCAAACTATAAAAATAATATACATAGGGTGGGAGGATGGGTTAGCCTGGTGGTGGGTATTGAGGAGGGCACATTCTGCATGGAGCACTGGGTGTTATGCATAAACAATGAATCATGGAACACTTCATCTAAAACTAATGATGTGGGCGCCTGGGTGGCTCAGTTGGTTAAGCAACTGCCTTCAGCTCAGGTCATGATCCCAGGGTCCTGGGATCGAGTCCCGCATCGGGCTCCCTGCTCTGTGGGGAGTGGGCTTCTCCCTTTCCCACTCCCCCTGCTTGTGTTTCCTCTCTCGCTGTGTCTCTCTCTGTCAAATAAATAAATAAAATCTTTAAATAAATAAATAAATAAATAAAACTAATGATGTAATGTATGGGGATTAACATAAGAATAAAAAATTTAAAAAAATACATATATATAACATATACATTATATCACATGTATATAACACACATACTTATATATGTATATGTAAGAAGGAAAAAGAAAAACTATTCTTGACTACTCATATATGTACATGATTGTAGAGAGAATTTGAGATAGTCAAATGAGATTTGCATTATGCAAAACAGATGAGTATATCAAAATTTGCATTGTGTTTATTTAACTATAGTAGAAAAATGGCTTGAAATCTGCTAAATAGCTGGCTATTTTACTTCAGTTTGTCTATCTCTAAAAATTAAATTATGTCAAGACATATATTTTAAGAATATGTGAACCTAGGAACATGTTCAATAGCTTAATACGTTTTACATCTGCCAGTGAAATGGGGTTCTGGCAAAAATCAGGTTGTTAGCATATACAAACTTAGCATTGAGCATCGTGCTCAGGTCTTTTGATTTTAATATTGCATACTGTACTCAGAACATGCACAAAAGTGCTCAAGGTAAAAATTGTTTTGGGCTTTAGCTTCCTTATTTTCAATCATTCAAAATTCACAAAATACTGTCTTACCCATAGCCTTTCAACATGATCAAAATGAATTAAATAATAAACTTCAAATTGAAATCCAAGTAAGTAACTAGGAAGAGGTTATAGACCATCTTTTATTAAGTAATAAGAATAGATTTCTATGAAATGTAAGTGCACATGCTTTATATATGTATAACATATAAAATAAAGCATAATCAAGAGGTAGTAATTGTCCCAGTAAAAAAGCTTGGACAATTTACTTTCTCACATTATCTTCAGACTCTGTATAGTAATTGTAGAAGGGTAAGGTACATAGTAACAATATCCACAAACTGAAGTATAGGCAGTGAAATAAGATTTAAACTGCCTACATCTCATAGCTACTCTAAACTTAAGGTTTATAAAAACTTCAACATGTGTAATACAAATTGATTCTTAAAAATCACATGCCAATGACACTAGAGGGCCAAAGTCAAATAAATTAAGGATTATATAAACTGACACTGAACATATCTGCGCCACTGATAAAAAAAAAGATAACATTTTTCTAATCAGATGAACATGGAATTAAGGAGGGGATAAAGGAGGCCTAGAACTCTGGAAAATAAAGAGCTGCATTGTACAACTACATGAACCGTCAAAATATACACCTATCTTAGAATTCATAATGGGACTTATTTGCTTCACATCTGACAGTGATTATGACAACAAGAATTAATTCATACGCGTCCAAGACAAAGGCTTATCTACATCACATGGTGAGACTTCCAGAAGACCTCATGTTGCTTCCTGATGCAAGCTTTTATCCATTCCAGGCAAACATGCATGGCCCTCCCCTTTAAAAGGAATACACATTAGGTTCAATTATTTTCTTTTTTTTGAAAAAAGACATTTATTTGAGAAGGAGAGAGAGAGAGCACACTAGGAGGGGCAGAAAGGGAGGAAGAGAGAGAACCTCAAGCAGACTCCCTGCTGAGCATGGAGCCCCATGCAGGGCTCCATCCCATGACCCTGATATGACCTGAGCCAAAATCAAGCCTCTGACGCTAAACCCACTGAGCCACCCAGGCACTCCTAGGATTAATTTTCTAATAAAATACCAATTACACTACCTTAGCTAAAGCACATGGTTGACATACATTTGACATTACTTTGAGCACTTAACAGTATTCAACTTCAAATTATTTGCTAAAAAGCTTCCTTGGAGTGATCTGCTAAAATTATCGGTATTCTAAAATTACATACACTAAAACTATTCTATTACCTTCTCTATGTACTGTGTCTTATCAAAAGGTAAATCATCAAAAACTACATCTTTAAACTGCCATATTTAAAATGTGCACTCACAATGTCATGATAAAATACATGTCCTTAACTTGCTATCAAGGATTAGTATGAAAAATAACCAGAAGAGGTTGCCTATGTATCTTTTATAAACACGTTATTAAAGCCATGACTCCTTATTTTGGTCAATGACCATTATATGAAAATATACAACATAAATTCTTCTTTATTTATTTAATTTTTTCTTTTGTTTATACATATATTACCATAATATCATTATATAGGTGTTTACTAGTGCTAGGCATACTTAGTCTAAGCACTTTGCAAAAACAAACCTATTCCTCAGAGTTTATACTAAAAATACTTTCCTGATTCTCTTATATGCTCTCTATTACAGGAAAGCAAGACTGAAGTATCCCATCATGTTTTTATTTCTGCTTGGCAGCTAGGGAACTGAAGGCTAAATTCTATAGTCAATTGAATCAATAATTTCTCTCTCATATCCTTGTATGACTATCACTGCATGACCCTTGCACATTTAGTCCTATTTCAGTTATTTCTTTGCATTTTTTTGTTATTTTGATACACCACAAACCCTTGCCAGAAATAGAGATGGATGAAAAGTAAAATAACAGTCGACGGATTGTCATATACTTGACAAGAGTCTGTGAGCATTATTTGGATGCCACTTCCCAGAAACTCTGCCGATGTGGCTTTTAGAATTAAGATGCTTTATTTTAGTCTAATATTAGGTTTTCTTACTTTAATAGAATGTTAGCTGTATGTTTAGAGATACAGATATCTAGATTAAAACTACTACATCTTGGAATGTATGCTAGTTTACACCTTAGTAACTAATTTCCAGTGACATTATGTCGATATTTTATAATAATACTCAAGATATCTGACAGGAATTAAAGCAATTCTATGCTTTAACTTTGGCATATTTTGTATAATTAAAAAGAAGTCACTTTCGGAGCTCCTGGGTGGCTCAGTCGTTAAGCGTCTGCCTTCAGCTCAGATCATGGTCCCAGGTTCCTGGGATCAAGCCCCGCATTGGGCTCCCTGCTCCACAGGAAGCCTGCTTCTCCCTCCCCCACTCCTCCTGCTTGTGTTCCCTCTCTCGCTGTCTCTCTCTGTCAAAAAATAAAAAATCTTAAAAAAAAAAAAAGAAGCCACTTTGTAATGTTTGGGGTAGAACTTCAGAAATTACCCCAGCATTAACACTGAATTCTCCTTAAAATCTCCACACATTGGGAGCACTATTCTATGTTCCACAATTCTACCTCCAAAAATGGTATGGCTAACTCATCTAAAATTATACAGAAAAATTATTTTTCTTTTAAAATTTTAAAGCAATTTGAATGGTGCTTCTCCATGTGAAGTTCATTCTTCTAAATCCTTCTTAAAGTCTAATCAATATTTCCATCAATCCAAGAATATCTTTATATAATGTAAATCTTTATATCAGTTATTAAGTTCAAAGCATTTTAACCAGCCAAAAGCTGATTAAAGCCCAACGTAGCCCTACATAGTATCAAAGGCTTTGACAAAACAAAACCTATTCATGGGGAAAATTACAAAATTACAAATCATATAAGAATGTTTTAATGTCACTCCTTTTAAAATTCTATATATCATCATAAATAATTTTTTATAGTTATACTAATCAAATTATAAAGTCTAATATAATGGAGTCAACATGGGCTTGGAAATATAAAGTTCCTGACTCAAGTTTCAGCTCTGAGTCTTAAAGCTTTTACCTTGAGCAAGTCTCTTAAACTATCTGAGCTCAATTTCTTAACATAAAAAAAAATAAAAACAGGAATCTTAATTTCTAATGTGATAATTCAATAAAATGCTCAATGTAAAAGATTAATATAGTACCTGCTATATAAATAAGTTAGTTCCCTTTCCAATAAACATCCTTGAGAATCTAGCTACAGAGTATATCATATACTTTCTGAAAAGGTTTTTTTAAATTCCTCCTAAGTCCCTAGGTGATGGGTTGGCTCACTCATTCAATTCAAAATTTATTTATTAACCATATATTCCTTTCTATGCTCTGGGTACTAAGGATACCGCTGTGAGTACTCTCAGACTTCAAAGAAATAATTGTCAGTTACATTGGCAATCAGTCAAATATAAAACAATTTGAAAAAGACTATGAAAATGGAAATAGATTGCAAATGGAGCATCTAGATTCAGGATTAGTTGAAAGTAACCAAGTGAACTGACACCTACACTGAGACCTGAAGACAGGACAATTAGACAAATGTGGGTCTGAATTATGACCTATTATGTGCCCTAAGGCAAGTCACTTAACTT